ACATGCTCGGTACCGAGCCAGTACCGCTCGGTACCGAGCGGTAGATGACTAGTGGCACATGCTGAGTACCGAGGTCGAATCCCGCCAGGAGGCAGCGCCCCCTTGGACCCCCGGCAGACTGGTATATTTTTGTATTCATGTTGTTTTATTATTGGTATTTGGTAGTACAAATAATTGTTAAAATATATCATATTGTTAGCATGACTAGTGGCACAAGAAGGAAAGATCCTGCATGGAAATATGGAACTCAAGTTGAAGTATCAGGTGAAGGTGCAAAGAAGGGATATGTTTACATGAAATGTAATTTCTGTGAGAAACGCATAACTGGTGGCGTCAAGATATTGAAGGATTATCTAGCCTGCACTCATGTTAATGTGAGACCATGTGCAAAAGTTCTTGATGAGGTGAAGAAGGAATGTACAAATTATTTAAAGAAGTTTGCCACCACAAAAGAGGTCATACAAAGAAATATGGAAGATATGATAGAAAACTCTTCTTACTATGGATCACAGCATGAAGGTTCTAGTACTGGAAGCCATATAGTTTCTTCTAACCGAGGCAGTCGGGGGCCCATGGGTAGATTTATGCTAAATATTGATAACGACTAGGGGTGTCAATATTTGACATGACCCGAAAACCCGACTCGAACTCGACCCGAAAATTTCGGGTTAGGGTCAACCCGAACCCAAAACGGGTCGGGTTCGGGTTCAACATTTCGACCCGTTTCAAAAATCGGGTCGGGTTGGGGTTAACCCTTTGACCCGAAAGTGACCCGATTTTGACCCGACAACCCGAGATTGACCCGATTTTGACCCGGTTTTGACCCGAAAAGGGGAGATTGACCCATTTTTTACCCGAAAATTAGCAATTTTTTGGTTGAAAACGGTTCATTCATTTTTTTGCTGCACATTGTATTGACTTAATGCTTAAGAGGTTGGGGCAGTTGCCTCAACATAAATCATCCATATTGAAGGCCAAATTCGTTAGTAAGTTTATATACAATCATTCTTGGATACTCAGCTTGATGAGAAAATTCACTGACAAGGAAATTATTAGACCTGCTGTTACAAGATTTGCTATTGCATATTTAACATTGCAGAGATTCAAGGAGTTAAGATTACCTTTGGAAGCAATATTTTCTTCTAAAGAGTGGGATAAAAGTTCATGGGCCAAAAAACAAGAAGAAAAACAAGTTAAAAAGATTGTTATGAAAGATGATTCATTTTGGCGTAGTACAAATTATGCTTCGAAGACAACAGGACCATTAGTAAAGGTGCTTAGAATGGTTGATGGTGAAAGGGCCCCGGCTATGAGATTTATTTATGAAGCAATGAATAGGGCTAAAGAAGACATTGCAAAAGAATTGGGAGGTCAAGAAAGTGCGTACAAAGAAATATGAGATATTATAGATGAAAAATGGGATCGACAATTACACCAATACTTACATGCTGCTGCGTACTATTTAAATCCCCAATTTCATTATGATAAGGATTTTCATGTTGACAAAGAGGTGAAAACCGGTTTGTATGCATGTATGGACAAACTAATTTCTGAAGAAGACTACCTTAAAGTAAATGATCAACTTGAGGATTTTCATTTGAAGAAGGGAATGTTTGGATTTAGAGAAGCACAATCATGCTACAAAACACGATCTCCTGGTATGTTTATAGTTTGAGTATTTATAATTTTAATGTTAATATTTATGTTCAAGTTTTCTACTTCAACCAATATTCATAAAATACTATGTTTGTCTTTATGTAGAACATTGTTGGGCTCAGTTTGGAGATGATGTCCTGAATTGAAAGCTTTTGCAGTTAAAGTTCTTAGCCTAACGTGTTCGGCTTCTGCATGTGAGCGTAATTGGAGCATCTTCAATCAAATTCATACAAAGAGGAGGAATTGATTGGCGGCAGATCGAATGAACAAACTAGTTTATGTTATGTTTAACAAAAAATTAAAAGATAGATATCTCAAATTGCAGAATCAAGGAAATATTGAGAATGAAATTGACCCTTTGCTTATTGATGAGTTACAATCTGATGATGAATGGGTTTCTCCTAAGAATGTTGATGTTTCTGAAGTTGAAGCAGAAGGAGAAACTCATGTCAATGAAGAAGACAATGAAGCAACTACCCACGTATATAAAAGATAGAAATAAAGTGAGATTGAAGCTTCAAAAAAATTCAAAGGTATTCTTAAATATAATGAATTATTTTGTATGTTATTATTGTTTCATTTTAGAGCTACTGAAATATTAACTGATATAGGAGATAAAGGAAAAAATATTATAGATGAAGAAGAGTTTGAGGATGATTTTGACATTAATTATGAAGATTCTTCTGAAGACAATCAAAGTGATGATGAGCCTGCTTTGAGTCTTGATCCTATGGGGATGTTTTATTTTTAAGTGAGTTTATTTTAAATCTTGTATTCTAGTAATATTATCTTAAAACAAATCTTCAAATTCATAGTTGACATAATATTTTATTATTTTTTGTCATTATTTATAATTTTAAATTAATTTATTTTAATCGTTTTGAGGTTTACGCCTCGATCCGCCTCGAGGCTTACGCCTCGCCTCGTTTAGAAAAAATGCCTCGATTCCCGATTTCGCCTTTGAAAACCTTGATCCTCACCAAAGGACTGGATAGCTCTGCCTTTCTCCGAATGATTGCCAAGCTGGGAATGACAGATCTATACTCCCCAGCTTGAGGGGGAGTGTTAAATCTCAGCATCTCATTTTCATTTTAATCCTACGACTACAAGGAGGGATCTGTGGGAAGCCCACCTTAATCACGTTAAACACCTTCCATAGATGAGCAAATGATTTAGGAAGAGTTGTATTTCATTATTATGTAGTTATTTGTTTTCTTATTAAACATCTTGTATAGATCTATAAATAGGGATTGTAGTGTATAATACAATTCAAGATTTCCCTCTCATACCTCTCAAATTAACAATCATCTTACATGTGTTGGTTTGATTATGTGTCCTTCATGGCCATCTCATCCCTGCTATTTTCAATTTCCTCATCTATATCTTTTTCTTTTAATATAATCACCCATGGAAAATGTAAAGCTTAATTCAATTAGGGAACTAGATCTTCTACAAAGCAGCTGCTTTAAATGTGTGATATTAAAAAACTACCCCCCTGTGAAAATGAAATTAGATTAATAATAATGCTACATTTAATAAAATTTGCAAACTTTCTTTAGTCACAAGTAAATGCTGTTGTATTTATCCGTTTTAATAAATTATTCAGTTTGGACTGGTACCAATGCAAGGTTTGAAAAATCTCTCAAAGTTTTATTTCTTATTGCGAAAGAAGGGAGTTGCATAATAGCAACAAAAAAGAGATAAAATAGCATGTCTAGATTGATGGAAAGAGGAAATGACAGGCATGACGATTGTTGATAAAATATGGAAATTGCCATTTGCGTCTCTATTCTATGTCAACAGTGTTTTTGTTTTTAGGTGTAACCTTCCTTTCAAATATTTTTGTTCGTTTTTTGAGTTGTTTTTCGTGCACTAAATGCTATAAACTTCCTTTCATTGGTTGAGCGGTTGAGCTAACCATGTTTGTTTACATAGTCATGTTTATGAAATTTCTTCTATTAGTATTCTTGCTGATCATTGAAATGCACATATTGTTGTTTAAATCACAAAAGGAAGCACTTTGACAACAATTGCCTATTAGGAAATAGTATTCCTGCTTGAGCATTGTAATGGTTTACGGAACTTCTTCTATTAGTATTTGTGCTGATCATTGAAATGCACATGTTGTTGTTTTAATCACAAAAAGAAATACTATAACAGCAATTGCCTATTAGGAATTAGTAATGATGATTACCTTGGTTGGGTAGTGAGATCACTGTTTTAGGTCTCACTTAATTTGAGTCTTTCATATGCTCTATTTGTAAAGTGGAATCTGTTAGGCCGGCCCAGGAGGGGCCAGCTGAACCGTTCCAACCTGGACCGGTTCAATGCTATAGCAGGCGGCCCAAGCCTAGTAGGGGACGGAACCAGGGGGGCGATGCTCTAGTGGGGCCAATTGCTTAATGTATTCGCTGTTTAGGAGTGAAAGTTTGAATTAAGGGCTGTTTAGTCTTTTTCTAGGAGTCCTTTTTCTTTAATTAGTCTTTTGGTTAGGGTTTGCTTTTCATCTTGAATTTGGAAGATATTTAAGATCTAGGGTTTGTCTTCTTGGGTTCTAGACGTTGCTAGAGATTTGAAGAGTTGTTTCTTCCTCTTGAATCGAATAAACTTGCATCTTGTATTGATTTTCTTCTTCGTGAATTGAATAGAAGAAGTTTCCTTGTGTTTCTTTCCAGTTTTTATGAAATTCTCGCTTAATATTGCTGAATTCTCTTTGAAATCATTAAGATTTTCCGCTGTTTTCACCAATCTCTGCTAGGTTTGCTTGTGAACTCAAGTATTTCCCTTAGGGTTACTTGCGAACTCAAGAATTACCTATCAGAATATTGCATGTTCAAACTGTATTTGTATTTCAATATTGTTATTTACGTTTATCAATTATCCATTATATGATGCACCATTTGATGAATGTGGGACTGTTTTTCCATCAGTATCTGAAGATGAACAATCCAATGTTGCTTTGTTAATTATTCCATATTAGCAGAAAGATCTTCTTTTACAAATTTCATGCCATTAATAAGCATTGAATATCTGTTTACTTAATCGTCTGCCTTTAGTTCGAAAGTGAAATGGTCAAGTTGGAAATTTGAGAACCTTAGGTGCATTCTTTTATCAATGAATGGACTGAACTTTAGGCTTCCTTTAGAAGGATCACTTGGCCTAATGGAGATTAGTTGGCCATTTCTAAAATTCTTTGCTGCTTATTTTTAATATTCGGCAAACTTTATAGTTTTCTAAAGGTTTGTCCTATTCTCTTCAATATTCGTTAATTGAAACATTGATGAGATTCCAAAATTCTTAAGTTATGCTTTTTGACCTCTATTTATTTATCTATTCTATCTCAGTCTAGAAGTGCTCGAAGGCCAAGATCAGATGATGTGGATGCAGTTAGTCGGCTTCCAATTTTGAATGATTCTTATTACAAAGACATTCTTTGTGAATTTGGTGCCATGTTTTCCATTGCTAATAAAGTGGATAACATTCACAAAATACCATGGATTGGTTTTCAATCGTGGCATACTTCAGGAAAGAATGTGAGTGTTTCTATAAAATGTTGAGCTTTAGTGTCTTGTTCTTTGCTGAACTACTATAATCATTGATCATCATTTAATCTTCATCTTGTTTTGCAACTCACATTACATATTTTAATGGTAGAGTTCATTTGTTACTTTTATTTTTTCCCTGCTCCATAATGTGGGTGGATATAAATTTTGTTCAATTCTATTTGAATTTTAGTTAGCTCCTTTTAATAACTGAAAGGTTGGTATTTCTCTTTCCACGGAATCTATTCTTGATTGAGGGTCCATTTGGTTGTGTAAAGTTAGAAAATATGTTTGGAAAAATAGTTTATTATATCCATCATTTGCTTGGTTGTTATTAGAAATATACTTTGATTCAGAAATAAGAACTCTTTAAACGCACTCAATTGTAACGATTTCATTTGCATTGACAAAATTCAAAATAAATTCATCATAATTTTCTATCTACAGAGCAACCAAATAAACCCTAAGTAAAATGAGTATTGTCCTTCCCGAGATTGACTTTAATGAAATTGTCCAATTTTTTTAATAAAATTGTAAAAATGAATTGAAATGGCCTATGAATTTGATGATTTATTTCTTTTCTCTAGCACAAACTCTTGTAGAAAATTTCTATGCAGAAATTAGATTTACATATAAAACTCTTTTAGGCTGCTGAATATATTCCTTTAATGGCATCTAATATTTGATTTCTTGGTGCAGCTTCTTAGCAAATATGGATTTGTACTATTAACGATAAACCTTCTACTAATGTCTTGACCCAGCTCGATAAACTCAAATTAACGAAACAGGAAATAGATGGTTGTACGGAAAAATTAAAACCTTTTAATTTAACATAATTTAAAAACCATCCAAGCAAAAGTAAGAAAGAGCCACTAATTAAAAACAACTTTTTATTTCATCGATAAACAAGTACATGTAATTCTACTATGAAAAATGTTGACCTCTAACTGTCAGAGAACCAGGCAACTGAAGCTCCCGACCAACTCACCTACGATCAGACACGACGGTTCAACCACCGCCTCTCTCACAGCATAAAAATGCTCCTCTCGTTCGGTTAACAGAAAAAAAAAGACAGAAACACAGGAACGAAAGGGAGTCCGAGAGATACCTCTCTGTTTTCACGATCGATCTACACTGCAGCCTTCGACGGGACTACCGAACGGCCACCTCCGCCGCTCTTGTTTAACGACTCGACACCTACCTTCGAAGCCGACGATCCAATCCCGTTCTTCACTGTCAACTCACTGGCCCGACATCAAAATCCTGCTCGCCGTGCCCTATCCGACTCCAACCGAAGACGCTGCCGCCGCTACCTCCGGCCGACCCCAGCCTGAAAATCATATGAGAAAAGAAAAGTTGAAAAAAGAAAAGATGAGTATATTCAAAAATTAATATCAGTTAAAGTTCAAATCTAAAAGCACCCCAAGACTAAAATCAAATAGGATAACATGGGTAAACTACTACCTATGAAAGTTAACTAATAAACTTCTAATTAGCTACAAGTACAACTAAACTCTAAATTATATATTATTCATTTTTGAAATCAAATATCAATCTTACACATACACTCATAATGGATAGGTTCAATTCATGTAAAAATAAGGTTGATTGATTAGACTAATTATTTATGATTTTAAACTTGAATTTTAACTTTGATAATTCCAAGTTACTTTTAGCGAGTGTTGTTTTATCTTATTTTTTTATAAATTTAAATTACTAATTTTTTTAGGCTATTAAGTTAATTAATAGGTGATTATACCATTGCCCAAGGACAAGCTAGAGTTTAAGCTAGGAAGAATTTTTTAAGTCTAAATTGTGTATAGTTTATTACATTTAAATTATACGAAAATGTTTTAGTTGTATTTGTGTAGAACATTTTAGAAAAAAAAATAAAAATTCATGTGTTGAATAAGTGCCATAATAATGTTAGATTAAGAACCTCAACATCCTCATTCATAACACCCCATCACCTAATTCATACATTAAAGTGCTAGCCAATCTAAAATTTTAGGAAGATCATTGCCCTAGCAAAACCAAGGTGAGCATTAGAATGCCCATGATGTTGTCATGGCAAAAGTTGAAATTGCAATGCTCTTTATTCTAATATTTTAGCTCTGGAGTTCCAAACCATTCAACATTGCATTGCTAGGGAGAGCATTAAAGTGTCAGTGTTCAACTTTTCAAGCATCGTGATGAAGCATTCGGTGACTTGAGGAGTTATGCTCATTCAGTTAAAAGCCACAATAGTTCAACCAAGACATGCACCGAGTTATCTAGTGTTTCAATGAATTAAACATTTAAGCACCGTGGAATTAATTCATTTAAGGATGGAGTGCCATAATGCTTAAGGCAATTTATGTACTCACTATAAATAGATTTTTAGGTCTTTTATTTTGGAGTTTTGTAACTTTTAGTAGAGTCCTATAATTTTTAGTATGTTTGTTTAGTACCCCCTTAGTAAAGTTTAAGGGATTCTAGGAAAGTGCAATATACTTTCATTGAAGATCTTAGCTTATCTTTTTTACATGCAATCTTACAGTTGGAGGAGAAAGGAGTGTGGAGAGCGAAGTTATATGCCACATTATCTATTTGGGATCCTTCTATCCATGTGACACTTTACATTACTATTTCTCATGTATCTTTTCTTTTATACTTGAAATAAAGATTGGTTTGCCTCATCTTTTATCCATGTATTGCTAATTTTTAAGTTTCAGACTAATGATGTGAACACATTACAAGAACTAGATTCCTATGCCTTGAATGAAATTATGAATGTTTTCAATATCTCATGTTCTTAATTTAATGCATATAATGGTCATATGTGTAGTTAAAATATAATGTGATATATTACCTCGATATAGGAATATTAGAATAAATTGGAGTATTGAAATAAAATGATGGCATGCCTAGACCTATGATGAATAACTTTCTACATTTTATAGAGGTAATCGTAGTGTAGGAAGGCCATAAACTTCCATTTTCATCCCTACAAGATTATTGGAGATCTAGGGATGCATATGTTATGTTCCACATTAACATTTAAGAGTCTCATTTGGAAAAAATTATCATTTTACATACATTAATCCAAAATATTATATATACATATATATATATATATATCTTATATCATATATCTTATACAATATATAATATATATCTTATATAATATATATATTATATATTACATATAACAGAGAGAAAGGGAGAAGGCTCGGGTGAAGCCCGATCAGACTAGGGCAAGGCGTCGGAGGCAGAGGGATCACGCACGCACGGGTCTTCGTGGCACGTGCCCTCTGGTCGGGTGGTTTTGCCGCGAAATGGCACCATTATATTACGATCACGGCCAAAGCCCGTATGTTCCCTAAAGGCGTCAAACCCTTGAGCGATGGATCATAGGGTATATTCTATAGGCATAAAGCCCTCTATCAGTTAAGGTGGATTCATATATATCCACTTAGACAAACATCAACCCAGGTCTACGAGGTATTCTTGGACGAAGCAACCCATGGCTGCCGACAAGATGCCTTCTGTCAGGTTGGGTCGACTACCTCCTCTGACTAAGTAGACCAGGGATCATGACAGCCCGGGACGACGGAACCATGGGATCGTGATCGGGCTCGTCTTCATTCCCCCAACCACCAGTTTTAAGTTTATGGTGATAAGCTTTAAATTCTAAACTTCAAAATTCAAATCATAATATCAAACCCTAAATTTGTTGCTATTATACGATAGGTTTATAACCTATTCGACCCCTTTTAATGACTAGCCTTAATCGAAAGTTCTCTCCTATTATTGGGAGGGGTAATTAACTATAGGGGCTTGCGCCTATAGGAAACCAGAACTCAGATCAAAAAGTCCTCACCAAATGAGGGCGAAATCTCTGGGTAGTGTCTTATCTAAAACCCAATCTGCCTTCCGAAAATTCCGCCGGAACCTAATCTCGTTAAAACTCTCTATCGTCGTCGTCACACAAATACTTAAAAGAAAATTTGACGGATGGCATGGAGAGGCTGGGATCACATCCTAAAAATGAAATTTTTCGGAGCCCACAAAAAATATATGTTATTCTATTACTTGACATCAAAAGTTGTTTGCCAACCATCACATATTAGTAAGCTCTCCTGTAAAGCATCCCACAATTAGGATGAGCTAAGGGTTGGTAGGTAACATGCTATTCTATCAATTTTAGAAAAAAAGCAAGGTAAAGACATTCATTATGCATGATAATTTCATGGTACAATATAGTAATAAATTGAAGAAAGAAACAGTAAACGTGTCATGAAGTAGTAACTGGTGTGCTTCAGTCTGTATGTCATCCTATATGATTATTTTACTTTTCATATGTATGTAACATTTTACATTCCACATTTTTCATATTTCCTTTAATACTCTTTATGCATATAATAATCTTTATACATATGCATACAACATATTCATATTTTATACACCCGTAACGGAGTTTCAAATTTCATGCCAACATATACATCCAATCATGCAATATACTTATTGTAGGAGGGTGGCTAACATGCCAATCGAGCATATTTCCTTACCTAATATAATGTTTCCATGCATTTTTATATGTAGACATTTTAAAAGAAAAAGATATGCATTCTAAACTATCCATCACATACATTGCTTTTAAAGAACAAACATGTTTTTACTAAACTAAATAACAATGAGTATATGACACTTTCAAATAAAAATTTAGAGAATGAGTACATAACACTTCTAAATAAAAATTTAAAGATGAAACTAAAAGAATTACATTTGCCTCCTCAAATATAAAAAACTAAGCTCGGACCTGCGCAAATCGCCGTTTATCTTTTCGGCGTCTTTCCTCTCCCACTTTCAACACCTAAAAGAATATATTTTCTATTACCCAACATTAATTCTTTTTCATTAAATTAACATTTTAATATCATTATTTTCAGATTTAAATAAATCCTAAATTTTTAAAGTCCAAATTTTAGTCTAATCCCATGATTTCCCCTTTTTACCCTTTACAATTACGAAATTTAATTTAAAATAGCTTAAATTTTCGGTTTTGCCCTAATTCCCCAAATTTAAAAACCTAATTTCCATTATTTTTCATCACATATTTATACTAAAACCTACCCTTTACCTAATTAACTCTTAGGGCATAATTATTTTGGGAGTTTCTTTAATTAAAAATTAGAAAAAAATGTAAAATTGTGAAAAATCCTAATTTTTATCCTTAAAAACATTCCGAGGATTATTAGGAATAGTATTTGCTAAGACATCCTCAAAGAAATTGAATTTCAAAAAAAAAATCCTAATTTTGTAAATCTCAAAAATTTTGGAAGAAAATAAAAATTAAGATTTAATATTCACCATCAAACTTCCCTAAATGTTCTCCTTTTAAAATTTTTAAAATTTGGAAAACCCTAGATTTTCAAAATAAAAAAATCTAAGCAAAATAATAAATTTCTAGGTTAGGAACATATCTAAAGCTTTTCTAAAGCTTTCCCTTCGATATTCCCCAAAGACTGTAGCTGGAAACTGCCTCCGCCACTCCTCCAAGACCCCTTGTTGCTGCCCTCTCCCTCTCTCACGTTTGGCCGAACAAGAAAAGACACGGGAGTAATGAAGGGAACAAAATTTTGGTCCCTTTAGGCTTATTTGGATGGTGGGGGAAAGCCAAAAGACGGATTGCTTGCTTAAGTTCTTTTGTGAAAATGATGAGCTATTTAGTAATTTGCCTTTAAGTAAATTTTACTGATTTTTAATTTTAAATTCATGCGAAATTAACTTTAAGTCCTTTATACCAAATTGATCGAAATTAAGTGTAGAATTTTATAAAATTTGTTTCGTCGAATTCTGACAACTTCGAAAATTTGTCTATTTTCACTGCAGTGCGTTGCAACGCCCGCTACGATCCGACATTTTCGGATTTTACAACTAATATATTTAGGGAATTATCTTCTTAAGGCTAAAGCTTTTTATTATAAAAAATGAACATCAAACGGGTAGAATGTTTAGTATTCCGCAGAGAGTTTAATAAAGTACATCTGGAAAATTTTAAGGCAAATTTTAATAAAAAAGATTATTGCAAATTAGAAAGCAATAGGGAACATATGCTATGTGATGAGCAACACATGATGCTGGCCCATTACTGAATCAGATTATATTCCAAACTGCTTTGCTGATGCTGAAAGTCTGTTTCTTTGCAGATTGATGTACAACTTTATTACTCTCTACACAATACTTAGAACATTGGTATCTTTGTATTTTCAACAAAAATGATCTTTTATGAATTTTTTCCCCTTCTGAGTCGTTGGTTTTGAGGTTGGTATTTGAGTTAAAGAAGACTTTTAAGCATTGATGCTTTCAATTTTTTTCTAATTTTCGTAAGTAGTCTCTTGTCTTGATTAACATTGTGTTGTGTACCTAATAATCCATTAGTAGGATCTCATGAAGTTTGCAATGCCATGCAAGGGTCCTTTCATAATCCAACGATTTGTAGTTGAGGAATTTCAGGCTTTTATCGTGAACTATTGGTATGTAAATTCACAATCAAGTTAGTGGTTATCATGCAGTTCAATTAGTAAACAACAACTACAACAACAACATCAAGCCTTTATCCCACTACGTGGGGTCGGCTACATGAATCCTTTTTCTCTATTGTGTCTTATTAAAAGTCAAATACTCGTTTAAATCTAATAAAGAAAGGCCATTCATAATATTTTCTAGCCAAGTCTTTTTAGGTCTACTCCTACCTTTCTTAACATAAGTCAAATCTAATACCTCTACTCTCCTAACCGGGTCATCGGAAGGCCGCCGTTTTATGTGACCAAACCATCTAAGGCGACTCTCTCTAGTCTTATCTTCTACTGGAGCTCCTCCAACCTTTTCACGTATATGCTCATTTCGTATCCTATCTTTAAGGGTAAAGCCACTCATCCACCTGAGCATCATCATCTCTACCACACTTAACTTAGTATTATGCTTCACTTTTAATGGCCAACATTCGGCACCATAAAGCATTCATGCAGTTCAATTAGTAAAGATTTTAATAAATTATTGCCAAGATTCTAAGATCTATTCTCGCCTACACAAATATACATATTTACAATTAAGCCATGTATACTTGTCCATGTCCTGGTTTTGGAACAGGTTACCAAATTAATTATCAACAAATACATTGTTTGTATGCATGTTTTGAAAGTGCATACTTAATTGAAGTAAACATCCTGAATCGAATCTATTTTAGAATTTGTAACTTCTTTTTATTTATCTCTTAAATTCTTTTCCTATTAAACTTGAAAATTGATAAAAATTCTCCCTTCCAACAGGTTGCCTTATCTGCCAGGGCTGAAAAAGTACTAGAGAATGCAATATTAGATTCAAACAAAGGGGATGCTATTTTTTATTGGGTGTTGTTGGAGATGGACTGGAAGGATGTAAAAGGAAATATAAATGCTGATTTTTGGTCATTGTGTGATGTTAAGAATGCTGGAAAATGCAGGTATATTTCTTTTTTAGCATCCTCTTGAATATTCCAACTGATTTTATTTTGTTTGGATTTTTTTATTGAGAATTCAAATTTGTACTAATGCATTTCAGATGCATGCTATGCTTTGATAAAATCTTACTGTAGTCATATATATTTTTACGAGTAGAGCATGACCAAGCTCCCTTGTATCATGGTGTCTACAGATGATTTTATGTACCATCAATTTTACCACTAATAGTGAATGTTCTCCTTAGAGCATGGCATGATGACCAACATTATATTAGTTCTATGCTATATTAGAATATTATGGAAACTTAAGAAAGTGGATAAAAAAATATAATTTGACAAACTATATTATAAGAATCCAAATATGGGGCGATAAAGAAGTACTAACAACGAAGTTGAATGTTATTAAAATTATAATATTAAAATAGATGTATACTAGATCTAGAAAAGATAAATTGGAAAATAATTGCATGAGGGAGTAGAGTTATTGAAGATAGGGCATGGAAAAATAAAATTGTATGGGGTAACACTTATTAAAGATGAGGTAGAAAAGTAGAATTACAGATGTTGATTTGAGCATGTGCAATAAAGGTTAAGAGATGCACCTATAAGATTTAGATTAAATTAATCTGGAAGGATTAGGAAAAAAAAAAGTAGGCAGAAGTAGCATGGGTAGAAGTTGTGCAAAATGATTTGTATAAAGAAGGTTTCATGACCTAACCAACTCTTAGCTGTAATGAATGGAGACCATTCATCAAGTTATTATGATAAGGCTAATAATGATGATTTTGCTTTCATGTCCATAATGATTACAAAAACTAGTGGTAAGACAATAGTAATTAGCTTCTTAAGTGCAAGTTAACAAAAAAAAAAAAAAACTGGATATGCATTATTATAAATTTTCTTTAGTGACATCCTTCAAATCTTCTTGCTGTCATCATTTATTTGGTATGCTTTGATTTTCTTTTTTTATTTATAATTATCTAGTAAAGTTTGCTTTGTACTCATAGGCCTTCATCATTATTTTTTAAGATTTTTCATGTATTCACTATTAAAAATTGCAATTATTATTGTTGTTGTTTATATTCTATATCATTAGGTTTGTCTTATGAATCACTCGTAAAGCAACTTATTTATGGCCTGGAAGCTACTCCTACCACATCAATCATGACCTTCAGCTAGGAAGAAGAAATGCAAACAAAATTATAAAAAGATTTGTGATTCTCACAATGTTAAAAAAATTATTTTTCATAAGCACTCTTATGAAAGGTTTGATTGGAACCCTAACAAAGCAACACTAGGGCGACATGTTATGCTGATTGGACTCACGAGTGTCACTATTGGTCATGAAACGAAAATTTTTTATGAACTCAACACAAAAAATTCGCGTTCGAGTATACCTTTGTTATATTTGGGTTGGGTTTGGGTCAGCTCAAGTGACTAAAAAAAATTCATATCAGTTTCGGTTTTTGTCAGATCGAGTTTAGGTCAACTTGAAATAATGATTTAACTATTTGATTGATTTTCTTTTTAAATTAAAAACTTATCTTAGATAGTAGTTTTTTATTATTTTAGTTTTGTTATGTCGAAATCAGGTAATTTTGTCCATTTTGATTTAGGTTGACATTAATCTGTTAATACTTATATATTTTGTCTTGTTGAGTTAGGTCTAGATTTGTTCATCTTGGTTTGATGTTCATATGTTTGAGCTGTTAATTAAGCGGTTTTAGTTTTGATTGATTATATTCATAATGTGTTTTTTTAGGTTTTTACCTACTTAGCTTGTGAATTTGGATTTAAAAGCCTTTATAGATCTAGAATTAAAAGAGCCAACCTTAATGGGCTTAGGCTCAGCACATGGGCTAGCTTCTCATGAATTCCACGGCTAGCAGACACAAACTGTCGCAACTAGCTATAGGCTGCCTCTCACCATCAATAGTCACTCATCATTAAAGTTCGCATCTTACAAAATGAGTTGAAATTAAAATGGAAAAAAAAAAGATGCGGGGAGAGATTAGGCCCATGACCTCTTACAAAAGATCAAAACAATACACACGCAACTCAATTTAAATTTTGATCAATCTGCATAAACTTGAAAGTTTTGAGTCTGACAACTTAGCTTGATGGGCATTTATAAATATGCACTCCAACCAATATGCTGGTATAGCACTAGGTCATTTTAGGGCATTTATTAGAACCATTATCAAGCATAAGGTGGGTTATCAGAGAATAATATAGGAAGGATGGACCACATACTTTCACAACATTGTGTTCACTTTGCTTATGGCAAGCATTGCATAACTCCTGCCATGCTCTGCCTACCCTATCCCACACCGCATCCGCACTGTTGCAATACCCTCATCTTCCTCTTCATAGCTAACGACATGCCATAAAGGAGTACTGATTGAATGGAAAGTGACAGTGGACTGAAAGGCCCCATTTTCGTCTTCAATTTTATCTGCTCCCTTACTTGGGGCGGCACTACTATTCTTCTCATTGGGCTCTTTCCTTTTGTTTGTTATGTGAGAACATAAAAGCAAGATAAGTCTTTGGCAAAAAAGGCCCATTCTTCCAAAAATATGAATTAATCTTTTATATATTTTGAATTTACATGCAAGCATATATAACTACGTAGATATTTTTTGTATTACTTTTATTTTTTTAATTTGAGTAATTTTAAACACTTGTTTATTTTATAGCAAAATTTACCAAGCAACTTGTTAACGCTAGGATGATAAATTTTGCCAAGGATTTGCTAGAATATTTTTTAATCAGCCTTTTCTAGAACTTCAATTAAATAGCATATCTTCAAGGGGTACTATATTTCAGGCAATGGCGATGCTAATATGTAAACGTCGGATGTCTTTTTCTTGTACGACCATGTGCCCATTTTTTTGGGTGACTTTTTACCTTTCTTTATTCTTTCTCTTTCTTCATCTCTTACTTTTTTTGCTTTGGCTGAAAATAAGAATGCGTTTAGTAAGATTGTTACAATTTGGATTCCTAAGGATTATATGGAGTTTCACTTGCAAATATTCATTTTTTTCCTTTTTAGGGTTATTTTTAGATTATCCATTAATAGCCTTATAAGAATTTCTTCATTACTCCTACATATACCATATCCTAAAATGTCATTCATTATTCTTGCACGCTTTTGCATGGAAAACTTTCATGTGAACAATTCATTGAAATCTTAGCTATATTTCATGAATACTTCCCTAAGAAAGTTGCTAGGGATATTAAGAATGTTGCTAAAGATGTGCTTGGAGTATCAAAGGGAAAAACTCCTAATTGTAAAAATAGTTGATGGTGAAATCAAAATGTGCAAGTAAAAAAAAAAAGAAAATTATAAAAATTGGTTTAGATGTAAAAATTCTAATAATTAGGAAAGATATAAAGAAATCCGTAAGGAGTCTAAGAAAGCAATAGTCAATGCAAAGATTTTTGCTTTTAATGAGTTATATAATAGATTAGATACTGCGGGCAAAAGATATATGTATAAGTTAGCCAAACAAAGAGATAGGAGTAGTAAAAATTTAGTTCAAGTGAAGTATATTAAGGATGAAGATTTAAAAGTGTTTTTGTTAGAAAAAGATATTCAATAAGCTGGATGATATATTTTGCTAAGCTTTTCAACGAAGATTTACTTTAGTTAACCTTAGCACTCTAAATGAAAATAAAGATTTTTGTTTTTATCAGCATATTAGGAAAATCGAAGTTAGAGAGGCTTTAAAGAAAATGAAGTGTGGAAAAACTGTTAGATCTGATGATATTCCAGTAGAGGTGAGGAAATGCTTAGGAGATGAAGGAATTTCTTGGCTTAATAATTTTTTTAATGTTATTTTAAAGACTAAAATGATGCTAGATGAGTGGAGAATAAGTGTATTGATTCATATTTTGAAGAATAAAGGTGATGCACAAGATTGTGCAAATTATAAATGAACTAGGTTAATGTGTTATACTTTAAAATTATGAGGGAGAGTTATGGAGTATAAGTTGCGGCGTGATACTAATGTTTCTCAAAATCAATTTGGATTCATGCTAGGTAGGCCTACTATGGAAGCTATACATTTATTGAGAGGTTTGATGGAGAAGTATAGAGAGAATAAGGAGGATCTACATATGATATTTATTTATTTTGAGAAAGTATATGATAAAGTTCAAAGAGAAGTGCTATGGAGAGTTCTAGAAAAGAAAGGGGTTAATAATGCTTCTATTCAAGTCATCAAGGATATGTATGCAAGAGCTGTTATTTGTGTTCAAACACAAGGTGGTTTGACCAAGTATTTCCTATTTTAGTTGGATTACATCAAGGATTAACCTTAAGCCTATTTCTTTTTTGCTTTAGTCATGTATGTTCTCACTAGACATTTGCAAGAGGTTGTACCCTGGTGCATACTTTTTGCTGATGATATTCTTCTTTTTTATAAGACTAGAGAGGGAGTTGAAGATAAACTTGAATTATGGAGGTCAACCTTAGAGTCTAAAGGCTTTCTCTAGATAAGATCTAAAACTAAATATATTGGATGTAATTTTAGTAATAATAGATCTAGTGGGGGGATTTTGACTTTGTGCGATCAAGTCATTAATAAGAGTACACATTTTAGATATCTTGGGTCTATTGTTCAGAGTGATTGTGAAATAGATGAGGATATTATTAGTATAATTTAAGTTGGATGGTTGAAGTGAAGGGATGCATCAGATTTGTTGTGTGATAGAAAATACCACCTCAAACATAATGGAAAATTCTATAAGATGGTGGTGAGACCTATAATTGTTGGAGAATTTTTGTATCCTCGAACGGATTGCATATTTTATAATCGGGCACGGCATAAGAATACGATATATTACCCCGGAGGGTAAAAATATCATCTCCTTATGGACTCAATCATAAAATTTACAATTATTTAACAGAGATTCCCCCACTCGATGTTTGGTCGAGCGGGGTTTATTTATTTCTGGGGTACAGACATCCCATAGGGGCAAGCCCCTATGGTTAATTACAT